CATGAAGGAAAACAAATAGGCGAGATGGTGCTCAGAGATGAGGGGGGCAGAGTGCAGCGTCAGCCCGGGTGGGCTGCTCGGGGGCTGTGGGCTGGAGTAGGACTCGAGTGCCACCTGACGTGTCCTGTGGAGCCACAGCCCCCCACGCCGTGTCAGGAAGGAGGAAAGGGACCAACTGGCGAGCCCTTGTGGGAACTGAAGCTTTGCCCAGCCAACAGTGGCAGCTGCGATTGATTTGGGCATTTTTATAGCATTGCAAGCCTTGGGGAGCAGAAGGCAGCTCCTCATCCCCCAGCTCGGGCCGACTGGGGTGCTTGGTGACCAGGTCGATGGGGGCATCAGCGTGTCGAGTAAGCGTCTCAGGATTTCCCTTGGTACCGCGGCACTGAGAAGTGCCTTTCTGCCCGCATTTTCCGTGGACTGTGCCTTCCCCGGCTCCCATCCAAATGAATAATCAAATAATAATTTGTTAGTGCAACATTTGTTGAGGATCGAAGTGCCAAACACAGGGCAGGAGATAGAATAAGGAAAAGGAAGTTCAGACCAGGCCCCTGTCCTGGGGAGCAGCAGAGGCTAACCTTAGGAATCTCACAGAACCTGGTCCCTCTCCACAGGAAGAAGTGTGGAGACAGAGAAGAACAGCAGGGGCGGTTGCCCTAGCTGGGAGGTCAGGGCGGGCCTCCATGTTCATCAGAGTGACTGGGAGGCTGACCCAGCAGGGATCGACCGGTGGTGAGAGAGGACAGAACATTTAGGGCAGAGGGATAGTCTGTGCTAAGGTCCTGAGGCCAGTGAGCGGGGTGCACATGGGAACAAGGCTGGAGAATCAGGAGCAGCCTGGGGAGGCACTTCAAGGTAAAGCAGGGAGTCTGAGCTTTGTCCCAGCAGAACCTTCTGGAACATTATAGTAGGGGAGTGTAGCTGATGTGGTCAGAGGGTGTTTTCAAATACTCAGGATGCATTTGGACACGGAGGTGATGGATCAGCACAAACTTCTGGCATCTTGTAGCGGGGGCTGCGGGGGTCTGGACCGAGGCCTGAGGGCAGTGCCTTTGCCACGGAAGGAAGCAGCTGCCCTGAGGAGGCCCTTTAGAGTGGACACCACAGAGCCTGGCGGAGACCGGAAGACTCCGACTCCACGGCTTTGGCTCACTAGGGCCACTTCCCTTTCTCCTGCCCCGAGGAGGTCACCACTCAGCCGTTCTCTGTCCCCCAGGGGCCTGGACGGGTGCAGGGCAAAGCGCCAGCCTGGCAAGTTCAATCCTCAGCACCTCAGTGTGCGCTGAGCTCAGTCCTGGGGGTTCTGTTGTTTGGGGTCCCAGTTCTACGGTGAAGAGCGGTTTCTGGTGTGTGTGTGTGTGTGTGTGTGTGTGTGTGTGTGTGTGTGTGTGTGTGTTCAGTCCTGCTGGAGTGTGGAACTCTGGGGTGAGTAGGGCAACTGAGTGTGTGTGTGGGGGGCACCCCTACCCCCTAGTCATCGCAACAACAACAACTTCTGTTACTGGGACGGGGAGATGTGGGCCCGGGACAGGACAGAGACAAAGGGGTGGGCGTTGCGTGTGCCCGATCCCTATCTAGTCTCCAGCACCATGTTGCTCCCTGTGCCTTGCTGGGTGTGGGCATGGTCATTTCTGAGCACTGCCAGGGCTGGACTTGGGGGCCCTCAACACTGCCATGTGTGGTCCTAAAGACCTGAGAGCACTGTGGGGCCCGAGCGGCACCACATCCTCAGCCCCTGCACCGAACCTCCAAGAGCCACTGGAAGTGGCATCTGGGTCCCCAGGGCCCTGCTGGGAGCGACGCTACTCGCCTCCAAGGCTGGAAGGGCAAACTTCAAACACACTCAGGAACGGAAGGGGCCTCTGTGTTTCAGGCAAACATAAGTGCTCAGTGCAGACACCCATTCTCAGTGGGTGAACACCTCCGGCTGGACCCTCTGAGAGCTCTCTCTCTGTCTCATTCTCTCTCTGTCTCTGTCTGTCTGTCTGTCTGTCTCTCTCTCTCTCTCTGGTTTGGGGTCACACACACCCAGCAGTACTCGGAGGTTACTCCTGTCTGGATTTTCACTCAGGAGTCACTCCTGGTCATTCTTGCGGGACCTTATGGGATACTGGGGACAGAACCCAGGCTGGCCGCATGCCAGGCAGATGCCCTCTCTGCATCTGCACTGTAGCTCTGGCCCCTCTCTGAGCTCTGACACTGGGTCAGCCCTGCGCCCCTCAGGCCTCCTGGGTCTCACGGCCACACGTGGAGGGTACCCTGAGTCCTTCAAACCACCCCCTCGCCTAGAAGGTGGAGCCAGGGAGGGAGAGAGGGTGCTTGGGGAGGGGCTGAGTGGGGGAGCTGGGCGCAGGGCCGGAAGCCAGGGACGCTGGCCTCACGCCCAGCGGCTGTGGGCTGAGCGCCTTTTCCTCCCTAGACTTCTGCTTCCTCGCTGGTAAGATGAGTCAGGCGTGTGAGAATGGAGACCGCCTCAGAGCCCAGCCAGCCAGCTCTCTGGGGCTTGAGCCCGCCTGCGCGGGGCCTTCTTCCTGGGCGGGCCAGTCCGGTTTTCAGGTCTGGGTTCAAGCACTTCCTCACCCCCACTCACCCCTTGCAACTCTTCCTGACCCCCTCTCCTTCCAGAGCACGCCCCTGCCCCGGACGGGTGCCCAGTGCCCATTTCTCCGTTTCCCGGCTTGCAAGCTTTCTCACGCACCTGTCCTGTCGCCCCAGCTGCTTGCCGCCTGTTTCTCTCTCCCGTGAGGTCTTGGAGCAAAGGAGCAAGGGTAAAAGGAGCCATGCACTCAGTCTGAGTTGCTCAGAGCCTCAGGAATTCGCTGTGGGAGTCTGGGGAGCCAGGCGGTGCCTTCCTGGAGGCCCCAGCTGCTGCCTGCCGGTTCCTCCGCTCCCCCCTGCTCCCCGCTTGCAGCAGGGCCACCCAGCTGTTCCCCTCCACCTTCCGGCTCAGACTCCGGGCCAGACCCCCACCACGTCCCCTCTCCCTAACAAAGGCTTCCTCAGTAGAAAAGGCCTGGACGGGGGGAACACTTGCCAACAAAAGCAACCATTGTAGCCTCGGGGACGGGGGGCAGGGGAGCCAGCCAGGGTGAGCTTTGGCTCTCAGCGTTTGCCAAGCCTGACTCCGGGGAAGGTCCCAGCTCATGAGTCAGGCTGCAGGGGTCCTCGCTGGAATCTGTCCCTCCTGGCTTGCCAAGCCTACATGCAGGGAGAATGAGGTGGAGTCTGGTGGGGGGGGTGGGGGAGGCGGCTCAGACGCCCCTGGCTTTCCTCAGCTGGCTTATCTGGGATGGTTTGCAGCCGTGGGGAAGTTGTCCCTTGCATCCTCGTAAGCTCTGCAACTGGGTACATGAGCCTGGGAAGAGAGGCCATATTTTTTTTTGGGGGGTGGGGGATTGGAGGGGGCGGTGCTGGGATAGATCCCAGGGATCTCTCCGATGCAAAGCGTTGTTCAGCTGAACCCCGGCCCCTCCGGAAGTGAGGCTGTTTTATTCCGAGCTCATTCCGTGAGCTCCCTGGGACGCACAATGGAGACAGTCTCCCGTCCAAGTTCCCACACAAAACCCACAGTCTGGCTCTTGACTTTACACATCTTAAAGGACCAGACAGAGGAGAGGAGGGACTCCACTCCGCTCCCACTAACACCCCCCCTTTTGCTGGGACCACTTCTACCACAGCGAAATGCTCCGAAGTTGCCAGCACGTGAGGACCCCCTGCATCCGTTCAAGACTTGGCGTGTGAGTGTCCTGTGTGCGCCCCTGGCTTCCCCTGCAAGTCTCAGAAGAGGGAGCGGAGCCCAAAGTGGGAATGAAACGCCCGTTGTCACGTGCCTGTTGGCCAAGTCCAGTCTGGGGGAGTCCCCTGCCGCCAACGTTATCTCTCCTGCTTCCCGCTGGGTTCTACCATCTGTGTCCAGCTCAGCTGCACCCGCGCCCGTGCCCTGGGATATGTGACGTCCACGCTCACATGCTCTGTCCTCCCAGACCCACCTTGAGTCATGTCATTCATTCCACAAAGCACTGAAACGTAAAGTCCCCGGGGGGGCCTCAGCCCATCCAGTCCAGCTGGGGTGCAGACTCCTCACGCCAAGAGGAGAGGGACCCAGGGACTCCCCAGAGACAGTCCGGTCAGAGGGAATTTCCAGGCACAGCTCAGTCTCCCGTTCAAAAAAGCCACACAGGAAGATGTCTGGACTCAAACCCCACGGCTTGGCACTGCACCCAGGACGCTTGACTCTGGTTCTTAAACGCATGAGCAGAAACCCTCTTTCCCCGATTTGCGCCTCTGGTCAGCTCGAACCCAGCTTGGCGGAACACGCTTAGAGAGGGAAGCCGCGGGCTGCGTGACCCTCGGCCTGGACCCGGCCACTCCAGGACCCCCAGGGTCGCTGCACTCCCTTCAGAAGCTTGGCTGTGGTCCCCCCTTCCCCGACCGTGGCGCGTCCTGAGGGTGCCAGGTGGTCCAGCCCAGGGGGACTCCCAGGGGGGACCGAGGCTGCGGGCAGCTGTGGGTGCCAGGTGGTCCAGCCCAGGGGGACTCCCAGGGGGGACCGAGGCTGCGGGCAGCTGTGGGTGCCAGGTGGTCCAGCCCAGGGGGACTCCCAGGGGGGACCGAGGCTGCGGGCAGCGCAGGTGTCCGCCGGCCGGCCGGCGGGGCAAGGCGGGCTGTCGGCTGCTGTTCTTGGACCCGGGGGCCACGGGCGGCGATCTGGGGGCGCCCCCCGGCCGGCCGTGCAGGAGGGGCGCGCCGGTCTCCGCGGGGGCGCGGGCGGGGTGGAGGGCGCCCGGGGAGGGCGCGCGGGGGCCGGGCGCTCCGCGTGGCACTCTCGGGGGTGCGGCGCGCCCCGGCCCCGCGCCCCGCCCCTGCGCGCGGCGCCCCCGGCCCGCCCCGCCCGGCCCGCGGTGCTGTGCCCACCCCCGGCCCGCCCCGCCGGCCCGGCTCCCCGCAGTCGGCCTCCGGGAGCTGCTGGCGCCGGGCAGCTCGGCTGGCCCCGCGGCCCCATGGCCCGGCCCGGCGCGCTGCTGCTCTGCTGCCTGCTGCTGGCCCGGGGCGCGCGCGGCCCCACCCCAGGTGCGTGCGGGGGGCGGCGGGCCGGGGCGCGCGGGACGCCCCACGCGCCCCCGCCCGCGCGGACGCAGCCGGGCCGCGGGGCCTCCCCGCCGCCTCCCCGCGCCCCTCGTCCGTCCGTCCGATCGTCCGTCCGATCGTCCTGTCCGTCTCTCCCCGCCCCCCCCACGTCCCCGCGCGTTCCTCTGTCCGGCTCTCTCCCTCCCCCCTCCCGCTTTCCCGCGCGTCCCTCGTCAGTCCTCTGTCTCCCGTCTTCCCTCTTGTCCCTGTGTCTGTCCGGCCCTCTGCCTGTAGTCCGTCTGTCTGTCCATCCCTCTCTCCCCCTGTCTTCCTTCTCTCGTCCATTTGGCTGTCCCTCTGTCTGTCCGTCTGTCTGCCTCTATCTCCCTCCTGCCCCTCTCTCTGTCCATCCCACTCCCCTGTCTCTCCGCTCTTGTCTGTCTGTCCGTCTATCCTTCTCTCACCCCTGTCTCCCTCTTGTCCCTCTGTCCGTCTGTTCTGTCTCCCCTGTCTTCCCTCTTCTCTCTTCGTCCCTCTGTCTCTCCCCATCTTCCCTCCTGTCCATCTGTCTGTCTTTCTCCTCTGTCTTCCCTCTTCTCCGTCTGTCTGTCTGTCTGCCTCTCCCTTGCACTCCCTTCTCTCGTGGGTGCAAGTTTGGGGCACAGTGCAGGGAGCTGGGAGCACTCACATGCCCCCTCCCAAGACGTACTCCCCCGACTCCTCCACCTCACTGTGAAGCGGGGTGCCCGGCTTTGTGGTGGGGGCGGGGGAGCCCCGTCCTTTCCAGCGGGCTTCTGCTTGTCTGTCTGTGCTGCGCTCATGTCTCAAGTGGAAAGTGGACTCTGGCTGCTCCCGGGCTCCAGGATCTGCCTCTCTGCAGGGTGGACCCGGAGAGGGGGCTGGTGCCCCTGTTGCCCTCCTGCCCGGGCACTGGCATCCGAGCTTACTCGGGCTTTGCCCCTGCTTACTCGGTGCCCCTGCTGCCCTCCTGCCCGGGGCCCTGGCATCCGGCCTACTTGGGCTTTCATCAGAGAAGGCAGCGGGGAGGCCAGTCCCAGCGCCCTGTGGACACCGCAGTCCCTCGCAACTCAGCGCACCCTGGAATCAGCCCTGGGGGCCGGGCTCTGTCGTTCCTGCACGGCTGGGCTCCGGGAATGCTGTGTGAAGCCCGGCCGCTGGCCTGCTGCCTGGACCGTGCGGCCCTGACCTCACTCGTGCTGCAATGGGTCTGAGTGTCCGGCTTACACTCCCCGCCTTCCCGCCCCCCATGGCTCCTTTTATTTTTGAAGATCTATATTTACCTGGCTGGGGTGTAGAACTCTGCAGCCAAGGTGCTGCTTCCAGTTTTCGAAGCTTGGAGAGGCAGCGAACCTGCCTCCCGCCTGCCCTGGCCCCTGCCCGGGCCACGCCCTGCTGCCCTGGGTTTCTAGGTGTGTTTGTTTTGCCAGATGTGTCTGGAGCTGGAGCTGGATCGGAGGGCCCTACCCCGGGCAGGGCAGTCACCTCAGCTAGGGACTTTGGGGTGGGGCGGATCTGGACTCTTGCCGCTGCCTGCGGGGCTTTCGGGGAATCCAGGGCTCCAAGGCTTGGTGCTTCCAAGACAGGAGGATTTGGGAGGAGGGTGGGGTGCTTGGCGGCACACTTGGCGGTGCTCTGGGCTCAATATTGGTGATGCTTAGGGGACCCTTGGTGGTGCCAGGATGGAGCCACATCAGACCGGAGTCAGCCTCGACCCAGGCAAGTGCCTTACCTGTGGCTGTCTCCAGTTCTAGTCTTTTTTTAAATCTTTTTTTCCTTTTGGTTTTCTGTTTTGGCTACACCCAGTGGTGCTCAGGGCCTACTTCTGGCTCCGAGCTCAGGGGTCACTTCCAAACGGCTCAGAACTCGATGGCGGGGCTGGAGCAGGGAGGGCGTTTCCTTGCACGCGGCCGACCTGGGTTCGATTCCCAGCATCCCATATGGTCTCCTGAGCACCGCCAGGAGTAACTCCTGCGTGCAGAGCCAGGAGTAACTCCTGAGCATTGCCGGGTGTGACCCAAAAGGAAAACAAACAAAAAAAGAACCCGATGGCGTGGTGGGGATGGAACCTGGAGGAGCCGTGTGCAAGGCAAGCGCCCTTCCCGCCGTCCTCTCGCTCCCAGGGTCGCTCAGCATCGTTCTGCTCAGTTGAACGGGAGCCCCTGTTGGCCAGGGAACAGCTGATGCCCACAGGTCCCTGAGCTCCGTTTGCCCAGTGCAGACGGAAGGTCATGGCGGGGAGCTCGGCTTCTGTGCTGCGTGAAGTCTGGCTTCTCCCCTGGTCCCAGCCTAACCCGAACCCCCTCTCGCTCGTCCCACAGAGCCACGCCTCTCCCCACGGCTCCCCGCGGACTATGACACCACAGTGCCCTGTAGCACCGACTTCCGGGGACGCTTCCTCTCCCACCTGGTGTCCAGGCTGGCCACTGGGTCCCCAGCACCCCCGGCACGCCCCGGCCGCCCCCGCGTGGCCCGCAGCCCCCTCCGGCCCGGCCGTGGGGGGCGCTTCCCTCTGTACTTCAACGTGACGGTTTTTGGGGAGCAGCTGCACCTGCACGTGAGCCCCAACCGGCGGCTGGTGGTGCCCGGGGCCTCGGTGGAGTGGCAGGAGGATTTCCGAGAGCTGTTCCGGCAGCCCTTGCGGCAGGAGTGCGTCTACACCGGCGGCATCACCGGGATGCCGGGGGCAGCTGTCGCCATCAGCAACTGTGACGGGCTGGTAAGGGACAGGCTCCTCGGCCGGGCCGATCTGGCCTTCTGCCCTTCGTCTGCGCTCGGGATTCCTGTGGGCAGGGCGAGCGGCTGGGCCGAGTGGGCACTGCCTGCCTGCCTGCCTGCCGTAGGGCGCCCCTCTGCCAGCTGTGAGGTGGCTGGGTCCCTTGGCACCTTCCCTGGGTGGTTCCGTCACGGGCCAGCTATGCATGGGGAGCAGAGCGGACCTCCCAGGGGACACTCAGCCCAGACATAAATAAGCAGGCGGGGGGCGGGGGCGGGGTGGGGGCGTGCAGTTCTGACTGTGCCCCTTTGCTGGCCGGGCACGAGGCATGGTGCCCGCGGGTCCTCTCTGCTTCTTTCCCGCTGTGTGAAGCGGAGGGTCCTTCATTGGTACCTGTTGAAATGCTTGTGTTCCGTGCGTGCTCCGTGAGTGCTCCTCTCAGCAGCCAGCCCCTCACAGAGCTGGGGCACCCTGTGCTGTAAACTAGAGGGCCATGGTGACCTCCTTCACTCCCTCCCTTCCTCCCTCCCTCCCTCTCTCCCTCCCTCCCTTCCTCCCTCCCTCCCTCCCTCCCTCCTTGCTTCCTTCCTCCCTCCCTCCCTCCCTCCCTCCCTCCCTCCTTTCCTTCCTTCCTTCCTTCCTTCCTTCCTTCCTTCCTTCCTTCCTCCCTCCCTCCCTCCTTTCCTTCCTTCCTTCCTTCCTCCCTCCCTCCCTCCCTCCCTCCCTTCCTTCCTTCCTTCCTTCCTTCCTTCCTTCCTTCCTTCCTCCCTCTCTCCCTCCTTCCCTCCTTCCCTCCCTTCCTCCTACCCTCCCTCCCTCCCTCCTTCCTTCCTTTCTTCCTTCTGCCCTTCCCTCCCTCCCTCCCTCCCTCCTTCCTCTCTCCCTCCCTCCCTCCTTCCCTCCCTCCCTCCCTCCCTCCCTCCTTCCTTCCTTCCTTCCTTCCGCCCTTCCCACCCTCCCTCCCTCCCTGTGCTCAGCGCCTTCTTTTGCCCCTGTGTGCTGGTGTCTGTGCTAATTCTCCCCCAGGGTCGATCAATAATACTGGGATGATCCAGGCCTCCTGCGTGCAAGATAAGCACTCAGCCCTCTGAGCCATGCCCCAGCCCGTGGCTTCTCCTTCCTCCCAGCACATGCAGGCTCTTCTCCTCCCCCTCCTCCTCTTCCTCCTCCTCCTCCTGTACGTGTCCTCCTTGTGTTAGGAGCCTGCTGGTTGCCCCAGGGCCCTGACTGCTGCTCTTTTGGGGTCCTTACCAGCAATTTCCAGCAATATCCAGTGTGAGCGGATGGATCCCAGAGTGAACCACTCGGCCTCTGCCCCTCGCAGCAAGGAGGGAGGGGACCACTGGTGTGGGGCTGCGAGGATGAGAAGAGAGGGGTCTGCACCCCAGCAGGGCAGGGAACATCTGTTTTCCGTCCCTGAATGATGCCTTCTGCAGGGTCTGGCTGCCTGGATCCAGGCCAGGACCTGGTCAGAGCTTTTTCGAATTTTTTACCTCATCATCCCATTGTGGAATTATGATAAGCACAGGTAGAGTGAATGTCTACTTAGGGACTGTTTATGCATCTGTACTGTGTGTGTGTGTGTGTGTGTGTGTGTGTGTGTGTGTGTGTGTGTGAGCTGTGTGTGTGTTGGGGGGCGGGTGGTGAATGTCTACTGGTTACTGGTTTGCAGAGATTTTCTGCCGCTCAGCAAAGCAGCTGCCGCCTCTTACCTGACAGGAATCTCCCCTACCCAGCCCTGCCCACAGGGGTCGCCAGGTCGGAAGCCACGCACCTCAGCAGTGGTCATCCTCAGGCTAGAGCACTGTGCGCTGGGGTCAGCTAGAGTCCACACGTTCCAGGGAACCCTCTTAGAGGCCCAGGATTCACAGCCAGCGGAGAGAGGCGGGAGCCTGTCCTGCGGCCGGGCCGGGCCTGAGGCTGCCAGCCTGCCTGGACTCGGTGGTTCTGGGCAGCCACTGGCTGGAGCTGTGCTGTGACCACAAGTTGTAGTTGCAAATCTCAAGTGACGTCAGACACCCGCCAGGGTCGTTGCAGAGGGAGGCAGCACGCGGGTGCAGGCCGGCAGCCTGGCTGGGTTAGAGCCGAGATGTGCCGTCCCGAGCCACCGAGCCCGTGGGCACCACAAGCTCTGGGTCGCGTCAGGCCCTGCCCCTCGAATCGTGATCCCCCCGGCATTGGGCTTGCTCAGCAGCACGCTGGTGAGTCCTGGTCACTGGCTGCTGGGCGATGCAGGGACAAACGCGGACACTCCATGATCTCCTGGGTCGGTTGTTCTCACTGGCCAGAGGACAGATATCTTCCTATCATGTTTTCAGCCTCTGTACAGTCTTGAGCCAATGCCACTGCCTCCAGGGAGTCTTCCTAGATGCCCTGAGGCTTCAGATCTCCTGAGGAACAGGAGGACCCCTCTGAAAGCCCGTTCATAGGGCTGCTCTCTCAGCCTCCATCCCAGGGCTTACACTGGAGCCTGGGGGAGATGGAACAGCAGGGGATGGTGGTTCAAGTGTCTGAATTTCTTTCTTTTTTCTTTTCTTTTCTTTTTTTATTTTATTGAATCACCGTGAGATAGTTACAAGCTTTCATAGGCAGCCTGAGGCCTGTCTCCAGCTTTTGTGATGCCTTACAGAACCCTTCCTTCTGCCAAAGGACAGAAGCAGCAGAGTGTGAAACATCCCCACCCGGGTCCTCCGTCCTCTGTAGAGGGCTGTTTTCTTGTTATATTTTTGGGCCACGCTCCTGGTACTCCCAGGAGCAACCCCCGAGTACTGCCAGGTGTGGCCCAAACGAAAAAAAAAAAAGTTCTATATTTTTTGAGTGATGCCCAGAAAACTAGGCTGGCAGTTCGATGTGTTTGTGTTTCAGTAGGAGTTGGGGGGCGGGGAGGGGGAGACTCAATACCTGCAGATGTGGGGCACGCTGGGCTGAGTCTGGAACGGGAGGAAGTGCTCATTCCTCAAGAGCTGTCACGGTGCTCGGGCCCCGAGGATTGGGGGTACTAGGACCACCAAGGTGGTGCTTTGGGACCTCTTGGGCTTCAGCTGGCAGGCTCAGGGACCTGTGTGTGTGCACCAGCGACTGAACTGAGGTTGACCGCGTGCAAGGCAAGTGCCTGACCCCCCATACTCTCTCTCCAACCCCCAGGAGTGCATTTTGGGGATCTGGGATGATAGTACAGTGGGTAAAGCTCTTGCCTTGCATGTGGCTGACCCAGGTTCGATCCTTGGCATCCCGCGTGGTCCTCCAAGCACTGTCAGGAGTAATTCCTGAGTGCAGAGTCAGGAGTGATCCCTGAGCATCACTGGTGTGGCTCTTCTCCCTCACACACACACAAAAGTGCCTGCTGAATGGGTCACATTGAGTAGACCCTGACCAGCAGCAAAGGGAAGGGGCCGGGCAGGCAGAGGGCCAGTCTCTGCTGCCCACAGTGGGGGACATTCACAGTGGGCACATTCACAGCTGCCCTCTCAGCCTCCATCCCGGGGCTTACACTGGAGCCTGGGGGAGACGGAGCAGCAGGGGATGGTGGTTCAAGTGTCTGAATTTCTTTCTTTTTACTTTTTTTTTTTAATTTTATTGAATCACCATGAGATAGTCACAAGCTTTCCTGTTTGGGTTACAATCACACAATGATCAAACACCCATCCCTCCACCAGTGCACATTCCCCACCACCAATATCCCTGGTATAACCCCCTTTTCCCACCCTCCCCCTGCCCCCATGGCAGACAGTATTCCCCATAATCTCTCTCTACTTTTGGGCATTATGGTTTGCAATGCAGATACTGAGAGGTTATGATGTTTGGTCCATTATCGACTTTCGAGTGTCTGGATTTCTTTACTGGGATGATGGAATCTTCTAAAATTGTGGTAGAGGGGCTGGATGATGATACAGCAGGTTGGGCAGGTGCCTGGGTTCGAGTCTCAGCATCCCAGATGGTCCCCTGAGCCTGCCACGAGTGATCCCTGAACATCTCTGGGGCCCCAAACAAAAACAGAAACAAAAATCTCCCCGCCCAAAATTGTGGTGGTTGCCTAACTGTGCTTTTGCCGAAATGGTGCATTCTGTGCTACAGGGATGGGTTGTAGGGGAGGTGGATAGTATTTCAATGAAACATACCGGAAGAGTCAGGGCAGACGGGAGTGGTTCTTCGTGCTTTGTAGTGAGATGGGGTGGGGGGTGGGGGTATTGGTCTTCTTCACCGTGGTCGAGATGTGCCCTGTGGCCGGGAGGAAGTCACTCAGTCTCTTTGTGCTTCGATGCCTCATCGTAGAGAGGAAAAGAAGAGCAACCACTTATGGGGCTCTTCCAAGGACTGAATAAGATAATGTGCAAACACGGAGCGTCTGTGTTGTACTGTCTCGCGGCTGGCTCCAGCGAGAGGCGTCAGAGCCGGCCCTGAGCGGGCAGGGCCTGGGGGCTGCCCTGTCTTTGGCCTGGAACTAACCCCCGCTTCCAGCGGCTGCAGGGCCCCTTGGAGGGGGCTGATTCCATGCACATGCCTGGCAGCCTGGCGCGTCCTGGCACGTGTGGGCCACTTCCTGTCTCCTGGTGCCCGGGTGGCTGCTGCCAGGACTCATGCCCAGGCTGGGAGGCAGTGCTAGGTGGGCTGAGGTGGTAGCAGGGGGTGCAGGAGTCCCCCCGGTCACTTACTGACCCCCGTGCATGGGTGAGTGGAAGCCGGGGACTGCTGTCAGCCTGCCACCTCATTCCTCAAGAGCTGTCACCAAGCTGTTTTCCCGAGGGTGGCGTGGGGCGGGGCGGTCCGGGGCTCAGGTGCCTCATTGCCAGGAGGGAGCACTGAGGGAGGATTCAGGACTCTGTCAGGGCAGGGGTGAGGCTGGGGGGTGATTTCCCACAGTCTAGAGCTTCTTCGAGCCTTTGGGCACTTCCGACTGTTCTGTGATCCCCTCCGAGAAAGTCAGCCTGCTTCTAGGAGCAAGCAGTCCTTGGAGTCACGGGTATTTTCATTTGATTGTTTTAGGGCCACACCCATGGTGCTCC